GTGCCAATATCCTTTTGAGGTCGGGTTGAGGTGCCCTATACTGTTCTCATACAAGGGATGTGGGACCACAATTACCTTAAACCCTAAAACCTCTAAACCCTAAACCCCTAAACACCTAAAACCCTAAACCCCTAAACCCTAAAATCCCTAAACACCTAAACTGACCATCCTTTAGACCCGTCAGCTTGCTAGATGCCATGCCAAGGCCGGACCAAAGCCCATAAACTGTAAACCTCTGCTCTAGGGTTTAGGGTTTAGGGTTTAGGGGTTTAGGGTTTAGGGTTTAGGGGTTTAGGGTTTAGGGGTTTAGGGTTTAGGGGTTTAGGGTTTAGGGTAGACCCCTGGACTTGGATCTTGCGGCATGTTGTAACGCACTCAATCCATCTGAAAGTCTAGGCCACAAGGCCAAAACACCTAGACCCTAAAGGAAATGGCTATAGTATATGTTGGGGTTTTCTAGGATAATGGACACTACTATAGTATCTTCTTTAGGTGTTTAAGGTTCCCTAAGGCTCCAGTATGAAACAATCATATACCTAAACCCTAAGACCTCATCCCTACACCCTGTTTTCCCCACCCCTGACACCTTTGACCCGTAGCCCTTGATTTCCTGTATCCAGCAGTTGACATCTATTTGCGGCCGAAATATTTAAATGGGGGGTTTCCCAAAATTAGGAGTACCATGTGAGGAGTCCCCTGAATAAGGATTAAAATATCTTGGGGTCTGTAGTGGGGTCCCCCTATTGGGAAACTACCAAATGCTTTTAATGTCGCCTCAGGCCGAAACCTGGCTCCTGCGCCCAAAGCCCTGACCGGATTTCGAGCCCTCACCTCACACCCGCAAAGATCCGAATCCAAATTGTAAATCTTTGGCCCTGGAGGCCTCAACCGCGTTGATGCTAAGGAACTTATTTTAGTGACTATATGGGGGGAACCATATGAATTACGATATATACCCATTCTGGTAACTCAATTTCAGTTCCTTAAGAGCAAACCTAAACCCTAAATAGTAGTTTCCACTTTAGGTTCCATTATCCCTATATAACCCCTATATCAAGCAAACTGAATTGAAGTTCCTTGGCAGCAACCCAGTAAACCATCATCCCAAGCCTCAGCGCCGAAGTCCTACTCCCAAAGCCCTACTGCACAGATCGTAATCTTTGGTGGACCCCCCACCAGGCAATAGTGACTACATTTTTAGGGTTCAGGGTTTAAGGGATCACCCAGTAATAGCGACTATATGTTTAAGATTTCGGGTTTAGGGCTTAAGAGATAAGAGGGATTGTATTAAGGTCCTCTTATAGTCTTATACGACTATTACATGGTTGGGGGTTCCTCCGAATCGTAACCCCTCAGCCCCTCAGACCTTTTGACCGCTTCCCGATCCACAAGCACTAGCCCTTAAATCCTCAAACCCTAAGCCTAGAAACTCAAACTAACAATTATTTGTAGGCCCTCAGCGCTCAATACTCGATTGCCATAAGCTCGGGTAAGAGTAAGCGTTACTATCCCTATGACTATACTCTTGAGCTACCAGGAATAACAAGACTACTAGAAACCACAAAACGATTGAAAAATGAAGACAACAGCAGTAACGATAGAGAATAACAATAATGAAGCAACCACACGATAAGCAAGACACATAATGGTTCTCATGAAGATAATACGTTTTATCCTGTCGTTTAAGTCCCCGTAAACCCTAAGCCCTGTGGTCTGCCTTGAAGATGAAGGAGTTCGTCCTCTAAGGCCTCAGCATGTCTTCGGAGCCAGGTGCTCTCCTCCAGGGAGCTGAGGGCCCTGAACCCTTTAGCGTGCTTACTGTGAAGAGCGCTTAGGCCTTAGGGGGTTTTGACTGGTTAGGGCTTTGGAATGCTAAGGGTTTGGGATGTTTACAGTGAGGGGTAGACCTGACACCCCCAACTGAAAAACCTGAAGCCCTAAGCGCCAAACGCGGGTTTAGGGTTTAGGGTTCCCAGCCCTAAGCCCTAAACCTTAAGCGCGACATCCAATGCTCTGCAGCCTGCTCTTTGGCGTGGAGCCTCTGAGTATGTAGGGCAAGGCTCCGTCTCAAGGTCTCGACCTGCTTCCAGTTCAAGGCTTGAGTTTAGGGCATTCAGGCAGCGAGTATGTTGCACTCTTGCTGGATTTTGTAAACATAAAGAGGGACGAACCGAATCTAAGGTTGAGATGGATTCAAGGGTTTACAGTCCCCTCTAAGTAGATAGAATATAGGATGTATGGGGATCTTATTATAGTATGCCCAAGCCATATTCTATCTACTTCAGGGGGACTATATGCTGAAGGGGCTCATCGGGTGAGCTTTAACGTTTCAGCTCGGTTTAAGGCTTCAGGCTCGTCTTGGGTTGCTGGGGTTAGGGTTTAGGATTTTGGCTTGGGCTTAGTACTACTATTACTGTTATTGCGTTTATTATCACAATTACTATGTACTACTATAGCTGTTATTACTGTTACTACTATTATTAACAGTAATACCAATTCTTACTATCACTTGTATTATTACTTTGGGACTTAGGCTTCAGGGCTTCAGGCTCTAGGGCTGACCTTGCATTGCAGGGCTTAGGGGTTTCTGCAGTGAAGGGCTTTGGGCTTTGGGCCTTTTTTCTGGAACACTGTGCAGGTCCTAAGGATTTACACGTTTAGGTTTTAGGGTTTAGAGCTGTGGAAGTCCTAAGGATTTACAGTTTTAGGGTTTAGGGCTTAGAGTCCTACGGAAAAAGGTGCACTTGGGATACCCTAGTGCTGACATGGCGGCATAGAAAATTACTTGGCTCAAAACCCGCTCTGGGGCGTGGGCTGGGTAATTCCCCGCCACAGAAACAGTTCCAGCAATGGGGAATAGTATTAGCCCCTCATTCAGAACCTTTTTAGGAACAGTTCTAGTCCCCCTTGAATGGATAGACTATGGCTTTGAGTATATTTTAATAAGATCCCCATATACGCCGTATTCCATCTACTTAAGGGGGACCATACTGTAAGGGGGAATGAGGCAGTTGGCTTTTTGTCGCACCTCCATGGCTTAACGGCTTGTTTGGCTAGGGGCTTAAACGGCTTAGGGGTGAAAAGGCTTCAAGGGGCTTAGGATTCAGCGTAGCGGGCTTGCTTCCAGGGCTTGAGCGCACCACGTTATTAAAAACTGCGAAAGACTCTACGGCCAGGATCCCCTGATAACGTAGGATATTCCACCCGCACGGCTCCAACTCTAGACCTTATCAGCTTTCGACCCTAGATCCCAAGCCCTGTATGCCGAACCGGAAAGCCTGAAAACCATCAACAACCCTACATGCGCTACAGTTTAAACTCCCAGTAACCTCCTTCATAAGCCCTATAACAGTCAGATCCCCTATATAACTTTACCCCCCTTGAAGGAATTTAGACTGTAGCTCACATGGACTGTCCACCTCCAGTTGCGTTGCCAAGCGCTGCGCCTACAGGTTGCACCGTGTTTTCACCGAGCTTACCCGAGTTTAGAGTTTAGTTCAGGGCTTAGGGAACCCTGAAAGAAAAATGATAGCCATACGAAAAATTGCCTATGTTAGATTCCATATTACTTTAGGCGGAGGTCGAGGCTTTGTTTGCTATGTTCCCTCAACCTGAAAGCACCCCAAACTGTAAACGGTCTTAGCAAGACCAAGCCCGACTTCTAAACAGCACGGACTCCGGACAGTAAACCTTAAACGACCAAATCTACAGACAACCCCACACCCAAAAACTGCACACTTCACAGCCGCAAATAACTCTCAGCCCTCAACAGCCCCAAACTGCACACCCTAAAGAAACCCAAGCCCCAAACCAAAAATGTAAACCCTAAACCTTAATAGCACCCAAGCCCTAAACCCAAATGAGCTCAAACCCTGAATTTAAAAAAGAGGGCTAAGCCCTCACCGTAAAGAGCCCCAATCCCTCTGCGTGAGACAGACCGATCACTGTACCTCAAACAACCCAACCTATAGACAACCACAAACTGCAAAACTGAACAAGTCTAAGCCCTAGGCACGCTGAGCTTCTAAAAGCCCCACACTGAAATCCGTAAACACGCCCTAGCCGCAAACCTTATACTGCCCACTACTAAGCCGCCCTAAACATCCCCATGCCAAGACATACACCCTAAAGAACCCCGAACCTAGAGTCTGAAGAGCCCGGAAAAATGAACACTGTAACCTCAAAACCCCACAGCACCCTAAGCCCTAAACACTAAAAAGCTCCAAACCCTGAACCCTGATCCGACCCCAACCCCTAAGCTCAAAGAACCCCAACAAGTTTGGGTGTTTAGGGTTTTGCCCAACACCTTCCACTTAAACAGCGCGAGCAACACAACTCTGAAGAACCCAGCCCCGAACCCTTGATTGAACAAGTCCAAGTCCAGCCCTAGATAGGCCCACAGTGCGGGGTTTCGGGTCAATGGTTTAGGGTTAAGGGATTTGGGTTTAATCTCCTAAAGAAGTCCATCCATAAATAGAATAGGGCGACCGCAAATACAGAGTCCAAAATGCGTACTCCTTATCGTGGGGACCCCACAAAGGTCCCCCCCAATTCGGGGGAACCCGCCCCTTGTTACCCCTAAACCTTAAATCCCTAAACCCTTGATTTTTCATCGCCTCATGGCGTTCCCTTTGGTCCGCCAGCTGTTGCTCCATCTGCGCTGAATGCAGCTCCAAGTTCGGGAGGTGTTCCTTACTGCCCCAGCCAGCAGGATATTATAGCACATTATAGTGTAATATCATGTATGATAGTACGACATAGTGTATTCTAGTATATCATGTTGCTTAAGGTTTCAGGGTTTAGGATGGTACTTACCAAGCCTGAGGACTCAACAAGTGCCATGCCACAAGTGTCAGTACTAGCAATGATGCTGACAGGAACCATGGACCGGTAGATGGCAATAAGCCCCAATAGTAACCCACGGTTCTTAGTCAGTTACTACGTAACACTACGTACCAGCTTCACTTCCTACAGTACTCAGCGATTGATAAAGTCTTCGCCATGGTAGTATGCGCAACAAGAGGAAGAGCAGCAATGGTAGCGTTGTGGTGGTGGTGGTGGTGGTGGTGGTGGTGGTGGTGGTGGTGGTGGTGGTGGTGGTGGTGGTGGTGGGCTCCCAAAAATCAAGGTCCCTTTTCGCGCATTTTCATAGATCGGTTATTTGGGGGCCCCCTATTTATGCACCCCCCACGTTTAGATGCCAAGGAGCCCGTAAGTGAGCCGCATGTTGAATGCTCTCCGGATGCATATGGCCCGTGTAGATTTGCTGTAGACCTGCCTCGAAATGCATTCTAGGTACCTTCAAAGGGGTTGTATGGGGGGTATATAGGGACATAGAAGGGTTATGGCACTTGGGAGGTCTATGTAGATGTATTATTAAAAACAACTACCGTCATCTCTAATCATGAAACTATAGGACATCACCTTGCTGTAACTTGGTCTTTGCTTACCCTACAGCACAAATGACCAAAGCTTCAGCTTCCTGGTTGTTAGTGGGAGTACGGGAATACAATCCCCATATAATCTCTGCATGATATAATCCCATGTTCCCTACAATGCCGCGGTAAGTCAACGTTTAGGGTATAACCATGAGCCCTAATGGGTTGGATAAGGCTTATCAAGAGCTTGAAGTGCGCCCCCACAGGAGGATGAACGGCTCTGAAAGCACCGATACGTCTGCCTACCGTTGATGCTAAACGTCCTAGGCTACTAACCCGTGAAGCTTTGACCATACGCCCCAACCCAAACCCCTTAACCCTCAACCTTAAACACCTCCTAGACCCAACCTCTAACCCGTAAATCTTAAGCCAAAACCCCAGAGCCTAAATTAAGCCTTATAAATCAAACAGCTCACCCATAAAGCTTAAGCACCTGAATCTTTAGACAGCCTTTCCCGCAGCGCGCTTTGTTTCTACCGCTTGGATTTCCAGCTCGGCTTCCTCAAGCTCTGCCTCCACACTGTAGCCAAAGGGGGCTGCTTAGGGTTTAGGGTCTTTCTTGAGGGTTTAGGGATGAAGGGGTTTTGAGAATGGTCTAGACCTGTGCATGAACTCCGAAAACCCAACCTGGCACCCCAAAACTTGCTGGTAGGGTTTAGTGATTTAGAGTTTTAATGGCTACCATCGAGAAAACCATTCCTACCTTCCCTACCAAGGACCGGTAACACAAGTGTTGCATACTATTCACAAACCACTTCAAGGACTAAACAGGAATGACCTTGTTGCTGGAAGCAGCAACACACCGTTAAGGCTTTATCGCGCGCGGGCTATGGCTCAGAGAACCCTGAGGAAACCCCACAAACCCTTAACCCTAAACCCTGTAAGCAACAACTACACACTACACACCTGGCCTTAAAGTCAGCGGCCCCAGAATCCAAACCCCAATGTAAGTTAAGGGCTTTGGGCTTGGGGTTCAGGGTCTGAATAATTACCAAGAGGGTGGTCCTAGATTCCTGGTCTGTTATGGTATAGGGTACCTCAAGCAGACCCCAAAATTATGTTGGCAATCATTCACCCCTTACAAACAGCTCAAAATGTTGTGCTTGCAGCCCAGTACATATACTCAACCTGCCATATCCCCTCTGCCGCTGCTATGTTCCCGGCCCTCCGGCCTTCTTGCCAGTCCTAAGCGGGCGGTTCGCTGTTTTGGGTTGAGTGGCTAGGGCTTGAGCTTGGGGATTATCAGGCTGGTAGCCTCTAAACTTCCAAGCCTCTGCGCCCAAACCCTGAAAATGAAACCCATGAAATCTACTCAAACCCAAACTCCCAACTAGCCGTCCGAAAGCTTAAAGTATGCGGAGATTGATCTAGACACTGAGAAGCCATTCTCCGTGTGCCCTGTACCCTATTTGCTCGTAGAGGCCCTACAGATCCTAGTATCCTAGTATCCTTTCTTGTATCCAACTGGCTGTCTCCTAGCAGAGAATACCCCAAACCGCTGCATAAGCTCTTAGCCCCAGCCCCCGCAAACCCTGCACCCCCAACCTCAACATCCAGCGCAAGGAAAAGAACATGACATGACATGTGACCCATTCTTACAGATTAGTATATGTAGAGGCCTAGATGACTAGAAAGGGGCTTGGGCGACAGGACACATGGACAAACGTACGCAAGGGTCATCGCGAAGTTCATTATGTTGGTATTGTTTGGTATTTACTCAGGCGTTTGCATTAAGTCCTTTGTGCTAGCGTTAGGTGTCAAGGTATCGAGATTCGGCATCTTGACATGGAGCTTTACCAACTCCTACTTTAGCACAGTTTCCATGTCATGTCCCTTGTTTCTCCCATTTGATTCTCCAGGATTGCTAGTTATTTGAGCCCCTACACCTGCCAAACACCAGGCAGGTTTCGGATCAACACGGTTTAGGGTTCAAGCGATATAGTGCCACGTGCTGCGGCTGTATACTTTGAAAATTCTTAGAAGAGGCCGCAACAGCGCCGAAGGACGGTTTATGCAACTTCTGCGAAAATCAGGAAAACCCCAAGCTCCGCTTGCCCAGTTCTTAGCGAGCTCTAAGTCCTAACCCTTAACCTGTAAACTGTAATGAACAAGGGGCAGAGAGGCCAGGGGTGACGATCCCCTCCCGCAGTTTTAAAAAAAAAACATCCCCTCATCATAAATACTCCCCTGGCCCACCACTTATAAGACTGGAATACTCATCATTCCGACGATGGGGTTACATGGGCATCTACCAAGCCTTTTCATGCCGCCCTGGCCGACCTTTTGGTGATCTTGCGGGCCTTTACCCGCAGCAACTTTGCAACATCACCGTGGCCCCGCTGCTCCGCAAGCGTGAGGGCGCTGCAGCCTCGACCCCGCAGGTCCTTGTTGGCACCGGCTTCCAGAAGCAACTGTACAATCTCCACATGGCCACTCTCAGCTGCGAAAAAGAGGGCCGTGTAGCCATCGCCAAACTCCCGCTGGTCTATGTCAGCACCAGCTTTCAGAAGCTGCCGTGCGATCTCCACGTGACCGTTCCGAGCTGCGAGCATGAGGGCTGTGGAGTCACGTTCATTCTGCAGGTTCTTGTCAGCCCCAGCGTCCAAAAGCAGCCTTGCGATCTCCACATGGCCATTCTCAGCTGCGAGCATGAGGGCTGTGTTGTCAGAGTAATTCTGCAGCTGGTCCTGTTTAGCACCAGCTTCTAGAAGTAGCCTTGTGGTCTTGAGGTCGCCTTGCTTGCAAGCTTCGGCAAGCTCTTTGGCAGCCTCGAGCTGCAGCTTATGAGTGGAAAGGGGAATTAGAACCAATTGTAAGTCGATCGGGGCATCCAGCTCGGTGGAGTTGTCCAAGCTGGTGCCTTTGTGCAGCAACTGTTGCATGCACATCGGGAAGCCGTGTTGCCTGCGCAGAGACTCCTTCAAATCCCGCACATGCGAGATCTGCGCCATGCTAACTGCAGGCAGCTCCTGGCCTGACATCTGCCATATGCGAAGCATTCAGGCAAGAAGACTCAACAACAACGCCTTCTCAAACATTGCGAGCTGCATCTAGGTTTGTGTGCTTATAGTTGCACAACAGTTCAACAGATGAACAGCCATGAAACCAAGTGCATCGCTGGCATGACTGTCACGGTCTGTTGATGCGTCCATGATTTTTACATCCATGACCTTGGTTCCCGAACCGATAGGGGCTAAGGCCAACAACAGCACGCTCTCAATCAAAATATATCCCGTGAAGATACCATAGAGGAATGTATCATGAGAGTATTGTTTGGCTAGTGCATACCATAACAAATGCAGGAATATCACCAAATTTTGGGCAACGCCGATACTGCGGCAGGACGGAAATTCGTCGCACTAGCGCATCCTTCCAAAGCTCCTGCTAAGAACCCCTCCCCTCGTAGACTCCGTCGTCTGTCTGGAACAATATTGTAAAGTACGAATTAGAACTGCAGTTCCTGCGATAGCCCCCTCCACCCTACACTCCTCCACCGGGTCCTCCGTCTGGAACAATGAAAGTATTGCAACTTTGTTCCAGGAATTTCATTCCTCCGCCAGCAGTGCCAGTGAAAACGCACTTTAGTCCATGTACTTCGCGTCCTCTGCAATATGCAGGCAGGCAACTGCGACGAAACTTTCCTCCCGAAAAAGGTAGAGTCACTCTATTTTCTACATTGCGTCACCATGCACACACGTGACATTCTAAAAGGCTTGGGGCTCAACAAAACCAAGTCCCCTAAAATCCGACAAAAAAGGCTGAGAGCGCATAGTAGCCCTTGGTTCCGACCACAAGTGTATACTTGGAGGGTCAGGGGGACTTCGTTTGTATACTCATAACCCCTATAAGCCATGTAGTAACCCCAACTAATCCCCATTATCAACCTAGTTACTAAGTTCCCCTGACCCTCCAAGTATGGTATTCCCGAAATCTGGACGGTTTTGCTCAGGCTTGGGACTGCTTCTGTGGCCCCCAGAACAACTTGCCAACGTTCCTGCTGCAAGTCTGCATAAAACCTCATTCCTGAGTCTAAGCTGGGGATTACAGGGGTTTGTCAAAACAAGACGCTTTTAGGGACCCTAGGGATGCATGGAAGTTACAGAAGGCTTACCTGGCCCCTACTGAGGATGCTAAAAGGAATTTTAGGGCAACACCTAACCCTAAACCCTAAACTTGGGTACTGCCCCCCTCAGTAACAGTTGGATAATATTTATAATATGGCTATATATAGCCCTTACTAGGACCACTAATATAGACTGTTACTGGGTGGGGGCAGTACCCAACCTAAACCCCTAAACCCTAAACCCTAGCCTCCCGGATGACTGCAACTTATGGGTCTTTGACTCACAGCTTTGCGGCCTGGGGGTCCCTACTTTTGGTTTAGGGTTTAGGTCTTAGAGCTTAAGAGTTGTTAGTACGGTGTCCCTGCAAAACCCTCCAGTAGGCATTCATCATCATCTAAACATTTGGGCTTTAGCCCCTTACAGTGACAGTCACCAAAATGGGTAATGAAAGGGGGAATGACCCAACATAACCTCTAAACCTTTCAAAAGGATAATTCCCTAAACCCTTATAAGCCATACCCCCTACATAACCCCTAAACCATTCAAAGCCATTGAACCCTAAATCCTCAGCCATACCACCCTTAACCCCATCAACACCACACACACCCCAAAGATCCTGAAGGTTCCTGGCATTATCCTATATAATATACTAGTTTCCATTCTATTTTCCATTATTTACCATATAATATAGTAGTTTCCATTTTTTTCCATTATTACCATTTTTACTTTCCATTATTACTATATAAAATCCGTGGCGTTCATTGCCTAATGATACC